AGATCTCTCCCCACCCACACTCAGGCCCCACGCTCCCCACAGTGATAACGCCCAATCACCCACAGAATCTCCTCGTTCGTCGCGAGCAAGCTCTCCTGCGGTGCCTGCGTCCAAAGATCTCCTTCAACTTGTTATGTGGATGGAAACTTCTCGACGCCAGGACTATGTTGCAAGGAGAGAGTCTGAAAGACGACGCCACGAAGATGAACAAAGATGCAGAGAACTAGAAGATATACGTAGAAGTAAGGATGACCTGAGAAGAAGAGAGGATCAAGCCAGATTTGAAGCTTTGATTTCACTGTTATCCTCCCCACAACGATCTACTCGGCAAGATTCTTCTGCTACTACTAATGCTGATACGACTAGAGGTACTGGTACCTCATTTCCCAGAGTCGGTTCAACAATTCCTCAAAAGGCTGCAGCACAAACGCCCCCCTCTCTGAAGTCTGATGCTTCTTATCAGATATTTCAGGAATGGCGTCGACGTTGGCAAGACTACGCAACAATGGTTGACCTGTCAAGTTTACCACAGCCTAAACAGATGATACAGCTTCGTATGTGCTTGTCCTTAGAGACACAACGTACTCTCGAGCACACACTTCAAGTGCCTCCTACGACAACTCTGACTGTAGAGGCCGTGCTTCACAAGTTACAGGAACATGTTAAGGGACAGCGCAACGAAACACTTAGAAGAAGAGAACTCCTCCAATGTAAGCAGCTTGATGGAGAATCTTTTGATGCATTTTTTGTAAGACTCAAGAGATGTTCAGAGGAAGTTGATGTTTGTCCTGGAAATTTTCAAGTCTGTGAAGAGACACAACTCAAGACAATCATTTTAACGGGTATTCGAGAAGAAGAGCGAGTTCAGCATCTCATTTCACTTGACCCCACTTCCTCTCTTCAAGATGTTGTTACAAAATGTCGAGCGAACGAGGCCGCCAGGTGTGCGACTTCAGCTTTATGCTCCCAACCTGACCAGGTGAGGGCGGTGTCTTCCTACAGAAAGGGTAAGAAGCAGCAAGGTAACCCCACCCCTCACCCTTCAGCTACACCTTCAGCAGCAGCTTTGTGTAACAGCTGTGCGAGACAGCATAATGCCTCCCAGTGCCCAGCTGCTCAAAGCGTGTGCAGAAGTTGCGACCGCCAGGGTCACTGGGCTTACACAGTCAAGTGCCCTGCTAGCAAAGTTCAGTGCAGACTTTGTGGTCGTGTGGGCCATTATGACAAATGTTGTCGTAAGAAGACACAGAAAGGACACCACCTAGGATCCAAGAAGTCATCCTCAGGTAGTGCTGGCACGCCCCCTCCTTCTGGCAAGCATCAAGACGCTGGGTCCAGTCGTTCCTGCCGTCGTGTACATTGTTCCACAGACACGACGCCCCAGCACATCAGTGTCGTCATTTCTTACGGTAACTTGTCATCCAGTCTTCAGATGTTTCCTGATACCGGTGCTGACGTCTCAGTAATTGGTCCACAACACTTAGCAAGTTTGGGAATACCCTCCCGAGCAACCTACAGCCCCCTCCTCAGACAACGAAATTGACAGCTGATGGTTCCAAGATGGCTCCAGCTTTGGGATCTTTCTGGGCTACTCTTACCTTTGGTAAGCAGTTTTGCTCAGCCGAGATTGATGTTCATGATGGAATCCCGACTCCGCTTTTATCATATGGCCATTGTCAAGAGATGGCCATTATTTCCAAGGAATTCCCCAAACCTATTTTAAAGGTCACCCATGTCAACAGGTTGAAGGAACTCCCTATCTCTACTAACACGTCCCCTTCTGATGCAAGAGCTTACCTTCTCAAGGAGTTTGCTGACGTGTTGGTTACGAAGAAATCTTTGGGATCCACACCACTCAAGCCGATGGTGGGTCCACCTATGAAGATTCATCTTAAGGATGGTGCCACACCTTTTGCCATCCACACCCCTCGTTTGAATTCTCACGCCTACAAGGAGCTAGTTAGACAAGAGCTTGACTCCATGGTTGCTCAGGGAATCATCAAGCTGGCCGGAGACGAACCTTCACCTTGGTGCCACCCTCTCGTCCCCTTCGCCAAACCTCGTGGTGGAGTACGGATCACCACCGATCTATCAAAACTTAACCAGAAAGTTTCCAGTCCAGCCCACCCTTCACCCACACCCTTCGCAGCTGTTCGAAATGTGGACTCGAAGGCGAAACTTTTTACAACGATGGACGCCTTATGTGGTTATTGGCAGATCGAGTTGGCCGAAGAAGACCAGCATTTGACTACATTAGTCACACCATATGGAAGATATCAGTATTGCAGAGGCTCCATGGGATTTGCCGTTACGGGCGATGCATTCTGTCAACGTAGTGACGCGGCTCTTCAAGGAGCCACGAAGACTACTGTGCCCACCTCTCCCGAATATATGAAGTACTCACCAGATGTCGAAAGTATGGGATTACCCTCAACGCTGACAAGTTTGTAGTCGCCGCACCATCAGTGAACTTCTGTGGGTACACTCTCTCAGCATAAGGTATCGCAGCTGACCCGGAGAAATTAAGTGGAATCAAGGATTTTCCAACCCCTGCCAACCTGACATACCTCCGTTCTTTTTTGGGTTTGGTCAATCAGCTGGCTGAATTCTCACCTGACATCTCCGCCGCAGCTCAGCCGTTACGCCCCCTGCTGAGCCCCAGGAGGACATTCCTGTGGACCCCAGATCATCAAGAGGCCTTCCAGCGAGTCAAGCAGGCCCTCTTAAGTCCACCTGTCCTCGCCTGTTACGACTCAGCCCTACCCACCGTCCTCCAGACTGACGCCTCCAGACTCTACGGCGTTGGTTACGCCCTTCTGCAGGACCATGGCGGTGGACAACTCCGCTTAATTCAGTGTGGATCCCGGTTCCTGACGGACGCCGAGACCCGATATGCCATGATTGAGCTGGAGATGTTGGCTGTTGTCTGGGCGATGGCGAAGTGCCGCTTCTACCTGATAGGACTTCAGCACTTCACCCTCTTCACGGATCATCGCCCTCTTATACCTATTATCAATCACTACTCTTTGGATGCAGTAGAGAATCCTCGCCTTCAACGTTTGAAAGAGAAGCTCTCGCCTTATCACTTCACGGCTGTGTGGCGTGCCGGTAAGCTGCTGTGCATCCTGGATGCCCTGTCCCGCGCCCCTGTCAGTCGCCCCACCCCAGAGGACGAGATGTTGTGTTCTACAGCTGCTGCATCCCTCAAGTCAGTACTCTCATTGAAGGCCGTCTTCACATCAGAAGAGTCTACAGCACCGGATGCAGACAAGACCCTTGAAGATCTCCGCACCGCAGCCCGGGCCGACCCTTCCTACATCCGGCTCGTCGACTGTGTGTCTCAGGGATTTCCATCTAACCGATACGACCTTCATGAATCGCTACTCCCGTACTGGAAGATACGCGAGGACCTCTATTGTGACGGAGACCTCGTCTTGTATGGTCCACGTGTAGTCATTCCTGCTCCCCTATGCCGCCATACCATGACTAGCCTTCACGACAGCCATCGAGGAGTGGAGGCCACCAAGCGACGGGCGAAGCAGACTGTATTTTGGCCCGGAATCGACGCGGACATTGCAAGTACCGTCTGTGCCTGTGAGCCGTGCCAGATTCTGCAACCCAGCCAGCAACAGGAACCTTTAATGTGCGACGATAACCCTTCAAGACCCTTCGAGTCTGTGTCGGCCGACTTCTTTGCAGTCGCAGGGAAGTCCTTCCTCGTCATTGCCGACCGATTGTCTGGATGGCCTGTTGTCGTCCCCTGTGGTAGTGATACAACGGCTACTACTACCATCCGGAATTTCAGGCATTACTTCAGAAAAGTTGGTGTTCCCCTCCGCCTCAAGACTGATGGAGGACACCAGTTCACCAGCCACGAGTTCCGGGACTTCATGGACCGTTGGGGAGTCCGTCATGTCGTGACCTCGCCCCACTACCCCCAGGCGAATGGACACGTTGAAGCCGCAGTCAAGACTGTTAAACACCTGATCCTTAAGGTGTCACCCTCAGGAAATACCGACTGCAAGGATTTCGATCGAGGTTTGTTAGAGTTACGCAACACCCCGAACTTCACCGGACGCTCCCCAGCCCAGGTTCTATATGGACATCATCTCAGGTCTTGTGTTCCTGCCCACCCGAAGTCTTTTTCTCAAGAATGGCAAGCCAAGACTGAAGAATGTGACCGCAGTGCAGCAGAACGAGCCACAGATGTCGCTGCTCGGTACGACTGTCATGCCCGCCCCCTTCCCAGGTTGAGTATCGGCCAGCAGGTCAGGATTCAAGATATGGTATCTCACCGCTGGGACAAGGTTGGGGTTGTCATGGGTATTGGCCGGTCCAGGGACTACCAAGTGCGTCTTCCTAGTGGTAGAGTATGGTGGAGGAACCGTCGTTTCCTCCGACCTGTGGAGCTGCCAAGTGTTGACCCTTCCCCAGTAGAGTCCCCTAATGCTGATGTCTTTACAGTAAATCCATCCCCACCTTGTGTTTCTGCCGCGGTACTCCGCAGGTCCGAGCGACTCGGAAACAAAAGGTCCGTTCAAGATGAAACTATGAGCATATAGGGGGGAGGGAGGTGTATAATATGGACGCGAAGTAGTACCTTAAGCTGTGTATTCTTATATTACTCTATTAATTATGTATAGTAAAGTATTACAGAACATTTATAATCCTATGTAATATTTCCATTTATTATGCACCATGTTATGTATGTGAATTATCATATTTACATATTATTTATTCAGCTTGTGAATGCTGGCATCTGTACATGCCAGCGCGGAGTGATACAGAGAGTTGAGATCGCTAGTCCTTATGGTGTGGAAGCCCACGTCTATTTGTTTCCTCTGTATATCTCCCGTACGAGAATAAGAACCTATTTTCAAGATAACAAGTGTTTGTGTATACCCTCAGTAGTGTAGAACATTTTGGGGGTATCAAAGACAAACATAGACTGTACACCCTTCGATTACTTGATTCATAAAATTCTTAATCATTCACCTCAGGTTTACTTCACTCTAGAGCGACGACCAAAATTCCTGGTGATCAAACTCTTCATACCATCCTTCATGCTGGTGGTGGTCGGCTACGTCACCCTCTACATCCCCAGGAACCTTCTACAGGCAAGTCTCTGCTTCTTCCAGCAAGCACTTTAATGCTTCTTCAGCTCTTCAGATCCTCTTATGCTTCACCTTGTTAAGAACTTGAGAAGTGAGTGTGTGTGTTGGTGATGTTTGTTTGTGTGTGTTATGTGTGTGTTCTTGTGTATGTATGTATGTATGTATGTATGTATGTATGTATGTATGTATGTATTTGCTGTGATTGTGTGTTATTAATACTATCCGCACATGAAAGATCACGTGACAGTGTACCATTGGACTAACTTCATCACATTCTTAAATATAACATAGCACAAGACATGTCCTAATATAGGACAGTTGACCTTCCTTCTCCTCCCATCACAGGCTCGACTGGTACTGAGTCTTACCACCAAGCTGGTACTCTATACCCTCTTCTCCCAGGCCTCCTCCTCTCTCCCTGACACCGCCTACGTCAAGCTCATCGACATCTGGTTCTTCTTCTGTATATGTATGTTATTCTTCATCATCCTCTTCCACGTCTTCGTTGATTACCTCCCCGACAAGAAGGTAAACGTCGCAAGGGTGACCACTTTGCTGTCGAGGGAACAGAAGCTTCTGAAAGTTCCCAAGTTATCAGCAGACGGGGCACTCAAGTTCGTCAGGTATCTCTTCGTCCCCATCAGCATCATCGTGTTTTTGAGTGTATATTGGTCCATGTTAACACCTCTTTAATCTTGATATCTGTGCCTTTTGTACTCTCTCTCTCTCTCTCTCTCTCTCTCTCTCTCTCTCTCTCTCTCTCTCTCTCTCTCATTATCTGTGTGTGTTCTCTGTCTTTGTCTGTGTCTTCCTCTCCATATATTTGGCTGGTTGTCTATTTATTCCTTTTGATCTCTCTCTCTACGTCTACCTGCCCCTTATTTGGCCTGTTTACTTTTCTCTCTCGTTCTCTCTTTCAGTCTCTCTGTCCTTTTACGTCTGCTTTTCTCTCTCTAAAAGTCTACTTGGTCTACTGTTGGTCTATGCTTCCTCTTTCCTTGAGTCTGTCTTTCTGTCTGCCTATCTGTCTATCGATTTTTTCTGTACGTGTACCTGGTCTACTTTTGATCTGTGCTGTCACCTCCTTTCATTTTCTCTGCCTGTCGACATAATTATCTCTCCTCCTCCCCTTTACACTAGCTATCTGACAGGATTATCAGAGAGCATCTGTCAAAGAGGGAAATCCTTTTTGTGACCCGGGACCAGCAGGATTGGGATAATTTAGCAACAACCAGACTCTGGGCACGGTTGGCTTATGTCTGACATCATCTAATTCAATAAGTGGCACGGGCAATCCCCATTGGAGGTTCACAGTGCCATCAGCTCGATGAATAGGCTTTGTGTGAAATATAACAAAGTCTAGGATTGCTTTTAGTGTCCTTGTGGCATGGTGGTAGCATTCCCTGGTCACACGCAATAGGTCGAGGGTTATATGATGAAAGTCCGCGTGCTATATGGAGTAAATGATATATATATATATATATACATATATATATATATATATATATATATATATATATATATATATATATATATATATATATATATATATATATATATATATATATACATATATATATATACATAAAGTAACAAAAGACGATGATATCAGATGGCCCTATGTTTGATAATCATAAGTGCCTATTCATAAATAGATGTTGTTTAGGATCTAACTAAGCTGATTTAACCTTACCTAACCCAACCTGACTTAACCATATACATCTCATGCACGACACTTAATATTCTTGTGTAGGATCGTAACACCCCACCTACCCTGCCAGACCACGGGAATGAACTCGTGTCTCATGAACCGATAGTCCAGGGGAGGAGAGGTGTGTGTGTGTGGGTGTGTGGTTGGAATGTTATAGCACCGGGCAGCATTGTGTGGTCCCTTGAGCCATGTTTCTGCTTCCACCTGCTGTAATCACCACTTTTAACCCACCTCCCACCTGTGGTTGTCGGAGTAGGTAGCGAGCTGCAGTTTACCGCCACACTCTCACCTACAAGTACAGTACAACCATGTACAGTATACACGCAAAGACAGAGACAGACGCAGAGACACCAACACACACCAGTGCACATATACATAGAGAGGTTGAAACACACACACACACACACACACACACACACACTATACTACTACTACTACTACTACTATGCTGTCACTCGAAATAGAGTATGACGATCATCCAGCTATGAAACAGTGATATGAGTTATTAAGTAAGTCACCTACGTTGGTGAGTTCTGAGGTGACTAAAGAGGCCGATACGGGACCGGCTGTGTCGTTCACAGATGTTGCACATGTGGAGGGCTGCATCTGGTGCGGGAGGGGCGTCTGAAATGTCTTTCCGGCGTTGGCGCTTGTCGGTATGCAGTCGGGCTAACTCGAAAGTATTGACACCTTGTGTGGTGCTCCTCTAAGCGTTACGGTGTGGAGTAATGGTTTCCCAGGTGAGGGGATCGATTTGGCACTTTCTCAGGTTTGTCTTAAGACTATCCTTATACCTTTTCAGTGGCCCACCAGCGTTACGTTTATCATTCGTTAGGTGACTGTAAAGTAGCTGCTTTGGCAGTCTACTGTTGACCATGCGGGTAACAAGACCAGTTCAACGTAGTTGTTCATGGATAATGGTAGCCTTGATGCTCCTATAGTTGGTGTCAGCGAGAATACTGGCATTTGTTCTTTTGTCTTCCTTACGAACTCGGAGGTTGGAATGTAGACTACGTTGGTGAAAGTTTTCAAGTGCCTTGAGGTGCCTCCTGTATGTGACCCATGTCTTGCTGCCATATAGGATGGTGGATAGGGCCACTAATCGATATACGTGCAACTTTGAAGACAATTTCAGCTCCTAACAACTGAAGATATGGGTACGGAGTCTGCCAAAGGCTTGAGATGCACATCTGATACGATGTTGAATCTCTTCACCGATGTCCGCGATGGTGGGCAGGTGGGAGCCGAGATACCGAAAGTGGGTAACATTAGAGATGGTAGTGCCTTTAAGCTGGATGAATGGTGGAGATGTGGTTGAACCAGTGGTAGGCCGAAAGAGAATCTGAGTCTTACGTACATTCACGGGCCGAGGTGTGAGCGACGAGGGTGAGGTCGTTTGCATACTGAAGTTCAGTAATGAAAGCTGTTGACACCTTTGTTCCAGCCTGGAGTCATTGGAAGTTGAAAAGTCCTTTCATCCGGTTCTAGATGTCCACCCCGCCAGCTAAATTGATCTTGGTACAAGTAAGGAAGACAGCCAATAAAATGGAAAAGAGAGTTGGTGCCAGTACATATCCTTGTTTTACCCCCATTTGGATGGAGAAGAACTCAGACTGGCTGCCATTGTACAGGACAGTGCCGTTCATGCCATCGTGGAGTTGCCTCACAATGGCGATGAATTTTCGTGGGCAGCCAAAATGGCTGATGCTATTCCAGAGGGCTTCTCTGTTGATTGAGTCGAAAGCCTTGGTTAGCTCGATGAAGGCTATGTACAGGGCACGATGCTATTCTCTGCACTTTCCCTGTATCTGGCGGGCTGCAAAGATCATGACAATGGTGACACGTGATGATTTTGATGACCCCGGCGATAATCTTGGCAGCTACAGACAACAGCGAGATCCTATGGTAGTTGCCACAGTCTGACCGGTCTCCCTTGTTCATGTAAATATTTAAGAGCTTGGGGATTTTTTCCTTTCCCATATATTCTACAGGAGAGAGTGGAGACGGGTGGTAAGCAGAGGTCCTCCTGCTTTATACATCATCGGCTGAGATTCCATCAGGCTTTGTTATTTTTCATCTTTTTGATGGTAATAGCTACCTCATACAGAACAGGGATGGAGGATGGCTGAGGTGGATCAGCTCTGGACGTTGAGGGACCTGCTGCGTAGTTAGGACATGCACATCACTGTTTCAGTTGAAAAGCGAATGGTAGTGCTCTTTCCAGCACTGAAGGAGGCCTTTTTCACCTTTAATTAGGGAGTTATCATCAGATGAGCGGTGGGTGGGTGCGCCATAAGTGATTGGCCCATAAAATGTTTTAATGAAATGAAAAACTCACACATCATATTTTGATCTGCATTTTTTTGGCGTTATGCATGCTTTATTTTTCAACCATTCCTCCTTTACATTGCGAAGTTCAAACTGGGCCGCCACTTTCTTCTTATGGAAGGAATCAGCTTTTCTCCGTGACTGAGGGTTTTTCTGCTAGCACATTCATCATCGACGAGTACGTTGATTTCGGAGTTATTAAAAAAAACCAGTCGTGGTGTATTATTTTGATCTCGTCGAGGGTCTCTGCAGGCTTTTGTCATGACAGTATCTAGAATACCTCATTCGGCACTGGGATTTGGGTTGTTTGTTGCCGCTTAGTGTTAAAACCGCTTTTGGAGGCTTGTTGCCTTCGCCGTTTTGGGGCGACGTAATGTGAGAGTCCAGCTCTGACGAGCCGATGAACAGTGTCACATGGTATGAGCCACGCATGGTTCGGGTGATGAGGACATCTCAGTGATCTCTTTCTCTGACACTGATATAGTCAATGAGATGCCAATGTCAGGATCGTGGGTGTTGCCCCTAACCCTTGAACTTGTCGGCCTGCCTAGGCAAGGTGTTAGTGATACTGAGGTTGTGTGCAGCACACTAACTGAGAAAGATTAGGCCGTTGGGATTACACTTGCCTACTCCGTTTCTCCATATGATTCCCTGCCATATGTGAGCATCTCTTCCAACTCTGGCATTGAAGTCACCTAAGAGCACAGCCTTACCTTTTCTGGGGATAAAGGTTATCAGTCTATCAAGGTCTGAGTAAAAGGCCTCTTTGATGTCATCCTCTGTATCTAGTGTTGGGGCGTATGCACTGATGAAGAAGGCATAATGCAAATGATTCAGTGGGACTTGAAGCGTCCAGAGGCGCTTGTTAATCTCAACAGGCATTTCAATTAGCTTTTGTAGGATGGATTGGGAAATGGCAAAGCCAACTACTTGATTTCGATTTTTCTCTGCAGCAGGATTACCCTTCCCGAAGAAGGTATAGCCATACACCGGGTCTTTGAGTCGACCCTCGTCTGGGAGCCAGTTCTCACTAATGGCTGCTATGTCGATGTTATACATAGACAGCTATTTTAACACAAGGGCAGTTTTTCTTTTAGGATGCTCATCTGTGCCAGTATCTAGAAAGGGTCCTGACATTCCCTGAAGTAACCATAAAAGAATGTTTAGTTTATTTTTTCTTTGTTCTGTGATTATGATTGTGTTTTCGACCGCATAAGGATGACCTTGATCCCAATGCATAAACGACCGTCTTATCTAGGCCGCCCTTGTGTAGAGTTGTGAGTAAAACCTCCGGCCAGTCATCTCTGCCTGTTCCTGTCATCACTCGTCCGTCGCTATATGACTTTTGAGGGTATAGAGGTTTTGATGATAATAAGAGTTATGATGAACTGGATGATGGTTGCATGTGAGTTGATTTATGTGATGAGGCAGGAGCGTAGGCTGAAACCATGCATCTTGGCTCTCCCTTTTCCTGAACCAGTGGTGCAAGCAGTTGCAACGACTGGGGAGAGGGAGAGGTGCAGTGGCCTGTCGATAGTCCATTGTGTTGTGTTCGCCTTAGTAGCTTGTTGATTTTCCATTGCCTTCATCCGCCGGTGTAGTTGTTGGGTTCCCATGTTGGTCACCTCTTCTGCCTTTTCCGCTGTTGGGGTCT